TAATGTAAGAGTTAACCCGGTGCTTGCCTTTCCCAGCGAGGTGTCTTCCTGTCCCGGAGCGGCGTGGCTCTCCAGCTCTGGACCCTTTCCGTCCCCCTGTTGGGTGCTTACCCACACGGTGTGCGATCATCCCGCCACCCTCTCCGTGCTCTCCACCGCTGCCTTGCCCCGGTGTCCAAACCGGGGCATTTGGGTTCAAACCCATCGGCAGCTGTCTCCAAGTTGGCTTATCACGACCTACCTCGATCTCGTGACCGCGGTAACTCCCGACCGCCAAACTCAGGATCCTCTCCTACACGGTGCTAGGGACCGTATATCCGTCGTTGTTGGGTGGTTTTTTCGAGGGTTAACTGCACTTGCGGGCCTCGGCCTCCCCCGGGGAGGGGAGGAGGGGGGAGGCGGAGAGTATCTATAGACTACCTCAAGTCAGTAGAAACGTACCAGGTAAAAAATCGTAGGAAGTAAATCGGGTGAGACAACAATAAATCAACAAGCCAACACCGAGGGTCCGGCGTCGCTGAAACGGTTCAGCCCACTGAATACGGGGCGAAACATACCACCCCAAGAACCTCACCTCCACACTGAGCAACTCCGATGCTGAGATATGCAAAAGGAAGATTGGGCGCCATGGAAATTGGCGTATCAGTTCTGCCGAGAAAATCCAGGTCCTTGGCCATGACCATGTAGTCTACAGTCTAGGCCCGTTGAGATATCTCTCGCGCATGTATGGTATGCGTTTGTGAGATAGGTACCAACTCCTCGCCAACAGCATAAACGTCAGTGACCGCAGCCACTGCCATTGGTTCATCAGTAGTTACAACTCTACAGCTCTCCGCGCCTAGGCGAAGCATTTGAAGACAGCACAAAACGCTCCAAACTCCAGCCCCTTCGAACAACATGATGATTTGATTGCGCCGCACCAACTAAGCAGTCTGCGCTTCTCGTGAATGTGTACCTTCTCATCGGCTTTGTCGCCCCCTGTTGACTTCTTCTTCGCCTTGGCTTTCTTTGGTCCCATAGCGTCGCCGCGTTCGCATCCCCTCGTTCGCTGATAGAGGTTAAACCACGCCAAACGAAAAAATGTGCGTGTAGGTTGCGAGTTCACCCATGAGTTTAAAAAGAGTTTCGCCGCACTACTACGGTTTCGGAATTTTGCCGACTACTTTTCCATTTTTGGATCACAGCGGCTCCCGACCGCACACCGCCTACGATACCCCCCCGGATCCGCTGGTCTTGAGTACCTGCACCCCATCTTTATAAAGTAACACAGACGCAATCAAACAGTAGTATATAGGGTGCGTGGGCACTGTGCTTCGGCATGGATGGAGACGACGACGACGATAGTAAATTGTTCGAGCTCGACGACGACGACGACGACGACGACGACGACGAAGGTTTGGACGGGCCGGACCTCACCACCACCGCCATGGATAGTGGTCCGTTGGAATCGGTGAATCCACCGCCGCCAAAGGACATAATGATCGGAGAGGAGGAGGGGGGCGAGGAGGAGGAGGGAATGGGAAACCACCCATACAACCCGAACGATTGGGAGGATATGGTCGGTGAGCCCGAGGCCGAAGATACGGAGACCAGGCGAGGCAACAAGTCAATGGCACAGGACTTATGTGTGCTCACAAACACCAGAGGAAGTACCTTTGCTACAACGCAACATGTGTGTTGTATGTTTGTTATGAGACTATGGAATATTGCATTCTACGACGTGCGAAACTGACACGAAAAAAAAGTCTTTGCTGGGCGGTGACAACGTGTGTCGTTGTTCGCCCAGGTGGCCACATGTCTTTGACTTCCCCTAATGATCGATATAGTGACCCACTCAAGCGCGCTTGGCACTTTTTTCGGCATTTTGAACCGCAAATTATTTTCTGTGCTTTACTGCTGTAGAACGTGGACCACCAAACGGTCTCGTCATCCGAGGTGCTTGAAAGCATAGTCAATGACTCAACCACACACCCTCCTCGATTCGAATGTGGCTGTTGTTCTGCTGCCAATATGGCCAATTCGACAGCGCGTTGTTGTTTGACGAATACAATAGCCAAGACAACGAAAACGGCGACATCGACATCGACATCAGCAAAGAAGACGACCTGAACTCCCTGATGGACTGCGGCCTCGAGGAAGTAGACGACCTCCTCAGCATGAACGGGAGGTTGCGCGTCTCCGGTTCAGCTCACACACCCTCAGAAGAAGCATCCAGGAACAACAATCTCTCGACGTCAACAATCGGGCCCTACACCGGCCAAACTGTAGCGCCACGTCACGGAACAGCTCCAACAGGCGGCGGCGTGGCGCAGCAAGGCGATGCTGGCGTGCCGGCATCCGGCTTACACCCGAAGGTAGATAGCGCAAGAGGCACCGGTGCACATGCGGCGAACATCCTAATGTCCTCAACGGCTCCTGCAGGATTCGACAGGAGCTCTTTTCCCGCCAACCACCCGACCCCCCATGTGTCGGAATCAATGCTTGGTGGATCACCAACCGAGGGATTGCTGAGGTGCAACAATGATACGGCTGCCAACAACAACAACGGCGATGGCCACGACAACAACGCTGATTGCAACGACAACACATCGCCGAACGGCGACGAACACCTTGTACCAAAAAACGACGGTCCACAGTCCTATTGCTACGACCCCCGACAAGATGCGGCAGCACGCCGTGGCGGCGGCGGCGTGCGTCTCTTGTCTCCGCCTCGGCGACCCGCAAAGGAAACGGCCCCGTTCATACGAGCGAAAGGTTTGACGCTAACGTACGCCCAAGCCAAACTTTTCGGCCTGGCAGGGTCCCCGCAGCTGGCAGAAGCACTCGCGAGCAAGGGTTTCAAGGCAGCTCGGAAAAATAAAAGAGCGACCACCGGCAGCGATACTCGCATCTTCCCGGACGAGAACTTACAAGATGGCCAAGGACTGCAACGGCATCCACAACAAAGCCGCACCTATTCTCCGTCGAGAATGGAGCATCTGGCTCGACCCGTTCCTGGGAAGGGACGAGCCGGCGGCGGCGAAACAACGCCAACACTAGAGAGGTCTCACGGTAGTCTGCAACAAGCGGGGCAACGGGGCGGAGGAGGGGAAGAGGCAAGCTTTACATGGAAGCGGTCAAAAAAAGCGGAGGCCGCCATGAGGCAGGTGGTGATCAGTGATTTTGAACTAGAAACGTGGTATCGTAGCTCATGATCTTCATGTAGTGAGTTCTGTGCGTGGCGAAATATCACACCAAAGACATATACCGCCACCTGTAGCTCTATTTCCTAACACGTCCCACATTTCCGCTCCAGATATCGACTACAGTGATGTGGTAGACATGAAACAAGCCAACAAAGACACATTTTATCGTCAAACGCTTCAAGCCTGAATCGGCGGAAAAATTCGAGTGTGCGTTTCAGCACAACGCCAACGGTCCGAGACGAGGATGGAAACAGTGCGAAATTGGCGAAAATATTACGCGAACCCTTGTCAAGGAGTTGCACACCACGTTTCCCGTCGCCGTCAGAGATCCAGCGTGCGGCTACGATTTTGTCCGGGAAGCCGGGTATAATACGGAGGGGTTTCTAGGCAGGGTTGAGGCGTACGCTTCCTACAGCAGGCAGAAGCTCGAAACTCGGCGAGGGGAAGACCTCTACGCTTCACGAGTTGACAAGCTCGAGTGCCCACGGTGAGTCAGTCCATGATGTACGGTACTTTGCTGGCGCACTTGCTATACCGGTTTGTGTAGGAGTCCGTAGACGAGACAACACGTGGCAGTGTATGGGGCCATTTAGCCGATGCAAGCGCTGATTTCGGTTTTTCGCTAGTAGTAGAGTCAGGAAGCACTAGGATCAGGCTGCCCACGGCGAAAGGAAGACAGGAGACGACCTCGACCATTTGCCGCAGCGTTGAGAGTCGAACGATGTTCAAGCGAACTTGACGGACTCGCCCATAGGTGTTGCCGAGCGCAACCAGTACCAAGCGCAACCAGTACCAAATCGACACAACCAAGGACCGGTCGCTCTGTGACCCCGCCCCGCCCACCTCCCTCCGCCAACTGCTTTACGTTGTTGTATCAAGCGGCTGAATACTGCTTCTAAATTCGGTGGGGATTTACTTGTTTTAGACGGGGATGAAACTGCTGTGATTCCATCACGCAGGGGTGCATTGCGTGAAAATAGTATTCACTGCGGTAGCGGGGCTGTTACTGGTTGAAGGTCATGTCGGCGGCGGGCGGCGGCGGAAGTCATCTCTGGCGTTCGGTCGCCACCACAGCAGAGTGATAACATGGCTAATAAGCAGAGTTACATTGAGCAGGTCATCCGTGAAACGTGAAATTATGTATGCGGTACATCGGTAGAATCGATACGTGGTAACACAACCTTCACACACAAGTGTATGACTGCTGTGAAACACATGAAGCAAGTGAGATAGAACATGTTTTCCGTTGGAATCGATAGCCAATAAGTTGCATCCCACATCATTCCGAATTGAAGTAAGTTATGCAGGCGTACGCATCCATCCTTGCCTTGTCAGTCACCACGAATAGACTCCTACTCTCGCATTGATTTTTGCAAACAACCGCAGGTGCCACAACCCTCAGTCTTACGATGAGTTCGTGAGCAAAAAGCTCAAGTGCGGCGGGTGCGAGGTGCCGTATTGCATGCCCCGGACGTGGAATCGAAGGGTCTGGGATCATAGGAACGAATTGTGGGTGAAATTTTTTTCATGTTTCCGAAGGGTTCTGGGATACACATCTCCGCGGAAACCGACGTCGTGTGGGTTAGAGTTTTGCAATCCTGGTCTAGATTCCGACGTCGGTTGAATGGGATGCAAGTTCCACTCTGTTGGCAGAGAGCTTCAAAGACCAAGGAAATAACACACAGCCGAAACAAGCGAGTACACAAGTGTTAGCTCTCGCTCTTCACGACGAGGTGGTGGCGTGGTCTGTCCTGCCTCGTGGCTGCGGGTAGACAGCGACATACGGAGCAAAACAAACCTGTTTTCGCGTGGCATCCGCTAGTAGCCCGTTCCCGACCCTACGAGCGGCAAACAACCCCAACTACCGCAAATAGTTTGTGGTACGTCCAGAGCGTGTTCATGTGGACCCGCAAGCAAAGGAAACAGTGGAAATGGGTAGTTCCTGCTGCCTGGAACGCCCGACGAAGCGGCGGCGAGTTTTGAAGACGCGGAGTGCTACGTTTCGAATTAATCGTGTTTGATGTGCGTAGCACTCTCGATTTCCTTACACGAAAGATGGAAGGCGCGTATCAAACAAGGTGGTGCCGAAAAAATCAACCGGTGGATACGCAATACCTGCGGAGTGGCGTGTAACACGAAGTTGACGTGTGGGCTGGGGGAATTTTTCACGATGCAGATGTTTCCGGGTGTTGACGTTGTTATTACTGTTGTGCAGGTGTGCGGCAAAGAGTGAGGAGCGGAGGGCACGTCTTGAGCGAGAGGCTGAGCAAGATTTTCTCAAGAGGATGCCGAGGCACACCCGTCACGCGGCGATGCTCCGACAACGTGTGGGACAGGTGAGAGTTCGGGAAACAGTATTTGAACAAGGCCATCATCATGGTACCACCCGTACTGGATTCAAGCGGGCTTCGCAAACACTACAAGTTTCCGGGTGATTTCGTGCACGGTTTTCCCCTTGATTGTTTCTCTGAAGCCATGTAAACAAACACTCTGCCTCCTAACACTTTTGATCTCATAACACTCACCATTCGAGCCCCGATCACGAACCTGGGCTCAACAGGGGTTGCACACTCATGCGCGTGTGGGCGCGGAGTCAACATGTTCCTACAGTGCTTTGTAAGTCTCTCGCTACGATTTCACGGCTGGCTTTGATTTGTGTTTCGGAATCGATTTCACCGTGTATTTCGCACTGCTGTGACACATGTTAGATCGATACGTACAACGCCGATCAAACCTTGGCCCCAACTAAGGATTTGATGCTGTAATGTTTCTTGGCCACTCGGCACAGCAGATGGACGCCCTAAGGTACGTGCACAGACGGATAATCTGGCCTGCCACAGCGACGATATCAAGCATAGATTCAAAACCCGTCCTTGCCAAACGGCGTAGAGGAGCAACAACTCTTCACGCGCGTGCACTATGCGATGTGCATGTCATTAGGTTGACTTTATTCGGCGCATGCGTCGCGACCTGCAGCGACGGCGCGCGTGCGAGGGGGACACGAAACGCCGGGACATCAACCAACACAACAGCGAAGATCAGCAACGGCATGATGATCGCATTCACCGACCCCAGCGGCGGCATGATTCCTCCAGGCGTCCGGCTTCCGCCCCTCGAACAACGGCTAGAAGCGGGAGCGCGGCTCCAGCGATGGCGGCTGGGGCTACTGCTAGCGACCCTCACGGCCATCAGACCACAGGGAGGGCAGGCGGGGGGGGAAGGAAGCACAGGGGCGAGAAGGAAGAGGGTAAAAGGTGCCTTACTACGCCCCCCAGGCTAACAACACCAAGATCGCCATCATCAGAGGTGGCCGGGAGTCTTCAGGAAGCAGCAGCACAGGGGCACCGCTACCACGACCCCGCTCGACCGGTCACCCTACAAATGCAGGGCGGCGGCAGCGGCAGAATTTCTCTGGAAAACCTCAGCATTGATGACGACAGAGGTGCTGGCAAGAGACACCTTTCGCCGAATGCTGCTGGTGTTACATAGAAGATGAGGACAACTTTCCGGAGTGACTTTTGAAAAGAGTGACATGTCCCCGACGTTTGTCGAGGACGATTCCCTCTTTTCTTCCACAATCAATCGCGTCGACAAAGGGATGCATCTCCGATTTTCATAGCAAAAAGACCTGTGGCTTCGATTCCGCCTCCCGCCTACAGACAATGGTGAAGGGCCACAGAAGGCATCGCACTCGTCGGACTTTTGGCGACCCACCTGGCGGACACGTTTTTGTGCGTGTCTTCACATTATTGAACAAAATATCAAACTCTTGGGACTTGTGGTGACGTGGAGGACATGGTTGTTGTTGATGCCTTCACATTAACAACCGTTCCGGTCTCTGCTAAATAGTACCACCTCTCAGCATCCGCACTGGTCGAAGTGACTGATGCGGACGCCCGCCATTGTCACGGGCGAACTACCCCAACCGGGTACACACTTATCTAGGAAAACCAAACGACGTCAAAAATGACCCAGAAAAACAATCACAAACGCAACAACAGAGCACAATACAAAACGGAGGGAAACAGGTAGCCCCCAGCCAGCTACCAGCAGTCAGACGTGACTCGGTGACACATCGAGCATCAGGATTAAAGACGCATAAGAAATTTCTTCAATAGCCCGTCGCTCCCCGCTCCCGGCACGCGATGCCAAACAATCATGGAAGAATCAAGGAATACCGCAATCCTGTGCTACTCTGCATGGATTCGCCAGAGAGTGCATTCGCCCCCGCCATGCCACTTTCCACTCACACACCTACAAATTACAGTGCACCGGCCAAAACCATGCTCAGAGCATTGCGAACGAGTGCATCGACCGCCACCGTCCGGTCGGGTTTCCGATCTGGCTGCCCCTCATACTACTGCCTAGCAAACAAGAAGTGAGACAATAAACGGCTCACATCTCCCCGTAACGGCTGTCGAGAACGCACCCCTCCTTGCCCCTAGAGGCACCCTTTTTCTTGCCTAGCAAAAAAATGAGAGCTCCTACGATACGCAGCGGGGAGGAATGTGGGGGGGACCTTTGAAAAGGATCCCATTGCCAATGTCTGGTGCCCTTCTTCCGTACACATAGTATAGATGTTACTCTTTCGGCTGGCATCGCTGCTGTCTCAACACAAGACTCGGAACAAGTCCAGTACCCAGCAGTAAAAACTTGCGAACACAAAAATCAGGAACGGAGGTAAAACACGTTTATAGTGTAATTAGAATCGCGGCGGAACACCGCCGGAGATCATGGGATTATTGTACGCGTTCCGCACCCCTTAAAAACTGATTCCTGGACTGTAATACTCCCCCCCGCCCGCCCGCCCGCGTGCGGGTCTGCCATTCGCGCTAAACTGAACGACACAGTTGAACCAGCAGACGGATGCTTCAACCGGGGGTTTACGAGTGGGATATACAATACGAAATGGCCATGAAACTATCAAAAGATATCGCCTTGTCAATCGTGCACCCCCTCTGCAACGGACGCTTGACGAAGACATGCGGGTGCTAAATAATGCCAAACAAACGAACGGCGAAGGGCATGTTGAGCGAGAAGAGAAAACCGCCAAACGAAGCAACATAGCCGAGAGCCACGAACTTGATCAAGCATCGCAGCAACAACGTTTGTTGATTCTCTCCGCGTCTTGCGAGAGCTCCGAAAGCAGCGCGGCAATGAAAACGAATGTGATTTAACCAGACTTTGAGGCAAGCTCGTAGCTGCGCTGTAACACCCGCGCAGCAACAGCTAGCAGCGTGCTGCTACTACCACAAAACAAACACAACACGCAGAAACCACACATGCGCACGCGTCCCCCGCCTGCCGATGCGTTGATTTTTTTACCATTCCAATGACAAAGATGCCGGAGCCCGAAACGAAACACGTTGCGTGCTGCTTCCGGAGGTTGCTTGCTGTGTGGAAGTCCAATCGTACCACGAATCAATTGAGAACTTCGAAACAGGACAACAAACTCAAGGGCCTTACCATCTGCGGCCGGCCCTGAGAACGATTTATCATACCTTCCACAAGCAGAGGAAGACTGGCTTACTGCCGCTGTTCGTACACCCGCACCACACCTGCTCGTCGGCGGCATGAGAACGAAACCGTAACAGCGCTTGTGTGTGTACCCACCCCCGCTCCATCTACACCTGCAAGACTACGTTTTTTAGTCTCCTAGGCCTCCTGGGCCCGCCCCCAAAAAATAAGAGCAACAGCAAGATCCACCAACGACAGCGACAACAGCTACAGCACGCAAGAACGGCTGCTGCGTACAAAATGACCAGACAAGATGCTGTTTGTTTTATTGAATAGTGGGAATGGTTCAGCAACAATGCTCTGGCCTCACGCGGGTTGCTTCGCACATTCTCAACCACCTCTTCGGGAATAGCACTACACCACAAGGTTCAACTCACACGAGCGTAAACATCAACCAATACACAGACGACCAGGTCAATAAAGTTGAAGGTCGAAACAGGACGACCAGCGCGCCACACTACGAGAACGTGACGCATGAACGACGCCGGGCCGTCAAACTGCTATATCGGTAAACGATACCAATAGCTATCGTAAATAAACATCCACCCACCCATCCAGGCCACTCGACTCAAACTCACTGCCACATGTACAACGACTACTTGGACTGGCCATGGCCAAGGAACGGCACACACCACACGCTACAACCACACACACAACCAACAAAAAAAAAAAACAGTCCCGACGCTCGGCAAAAAAACAAAAAAGTTGCTCAATCGCCGCCGCCCACTCTCGCACCTGTTCTGGTCCATGCCAAAACAAGAGGTGGCGCAAGCGCTCACCGTCAAAACACGCCTTCCTGTTGTGGTGCTGGCTGTGACGGCGGAGCAGCGCGTACCACAAGCAAGCGTGGTGTCAACACATGAAATATCCCAGAAACGAAGCCACACGTTGAACGGAAAGCAAAAGAAAGCCAGGAAGAGCTCCTGTCTAGTGAGGGTCGAAAAAAGCAGAGCAAACACGACCACAAACACACCGAAGGCGACTGTTGAGCGAGAGAAGGACACGGGGAAGGAAAATACACGAACGTTAACGTACTTACTTATCTCCCGCTGCTGATGACTGACGGTCTGTCCAGCCTATTCTATCGCGGTCGATGCTGCTTAAAAG